TGAAATATCGAAGCGCGGACGGAAGAGCAATGGCGTCGACGGGGATGGTTACCGCTCAGATATCCAACTTACATGCAGTCACCGACCTGAAGAAGACTTTCCCTTCTTTCTCTTCCGGTAACATTTTTTCTCTCTTAATTTACCTTCTGTTTGGTTGCTGAGAAAAGGGTCCTATTTTCCGGGGAAGAAATGAAAATTTAAGCTAGCGAAAATAGTTGTGTCAGATTCCATTTGATGAGAGAATTAGGAAAAATGGAACTTTCAGTGATTCGTCCTGACCCAGCAAACCAAAGGAGGATTTTTAGCTTTAAAAAAAAATTTGAGATTTTGATATTTAAGGTAGTCTGTGACTTTTGTGGTTGAGAAAGTCGCTTTCTTTTAGGCCTGGTTTTGTTTTCATGTTGCTTGCAGTGGGTGTTGGGAAGGGGAGTATGGAGGATGATGAATTTTGGGCTATCATATTAAGCTAACCCTCAATTCAGGTTCTAGAATTGAGTTCTGAAATGAGATGGGAATGGGATAGAAGCAGTTTTATTTATGATTTACTAGTTTGATTTATCTTGGGTGTACAGTGGGTTAGGTGATATCAGCATGTAGTTTCTTGATTGATTTTGACTGCTTTTTGATCAAATTTTCTATATGGAAGCATGCTTAAGAGATAACTACTATGTGCAAATAGTCACTGGTCTTACTGACCGAGGATCTACAAACATCCATCTTAGCTGAGCTAGTATGAACAATATAATTGAGAAAACCTGTGATGATCCATGGATTGGTTGCTGTGTTTTATCCCTTTGATTTGGTATCCCTCTGTATATGCAGATGTGTGTACTTAATTGGTGATAACATTGAGGATGTGTATCTATACTTGCCATGCTTATGAGTTAGTGGTAACTTGCTTTTCTCCTGGCTGAAAGTTTTAGAGAACCAAATTTCAAACGTAAATGTGGTGCCCTTTTGTGCGATATAATGGAAATAACTTTAAATATATATATATATATATATATATATTCTCTGTCTGCATATTGCTTATACTCTTCTATGTTTAATGAGAAAGGGGTAGCTGTAATTTATTTTTCTCTTGATTCTTTTAGGTAGCCTTAAGTTGGGTTCAAGTATAGCTGATAAGCAGATCTTATCTTGGTCGGGTCATCAGAAATCTGGGCACAGACATAGATCTGTCCGTGTATATGGTCTATTCGGAGGAAAGAAAGAAAACAATGAGAAAGGTGAAGATGCACCTTCCAAGGTTAGCCATTCAACCTTTACTTCTGCTTATAGTGTGAGTTAAATTAA